AGTAGAAGTAGCAGCAGTAGCAGCAGCAGTAGCAGTAGAATTAGTAGAAGTAGTGGTAGCTGGTAGTGGTAATCCTAGCAATAGCTCGTCCCCGTAGTATAGTTGCAAGTTGTTGTGTAAGCGTCTTTGCAAACATTGGGTGCCAAACAAATCTGGAAAATCTCGCAGGAGGACATGCTGCCATTGAATCCACCTCAGTATGGCAATCTATGATTTGCGAAACACCACTGACAATTCCAGCTGTCAGGGCCCGAACAATCAAAGACGCCCGTGCCAAGCGGGCGAAGCCCAGCATATCACCCTGTCAATCGATTGCCCGCAATGGAATCATGACGACGTCCTAGCAACAACACCCACAGAACTGTGAATCCAAGCGTTTGCAGTGACAGGAATTACGTGGCATCTCCGCTCATGCCAGCTGCTGCAGAGTGTCTTTAAATTAATCGGTGTTACCCGAGCAGTATCGAATCCCATGCCCACTGAACATCATTCGCCAGCTGCACCAGCCAGGTGTCCAAGTGAGTGTGCAGAAGATAAAGTGGAGCATTGTGGAGCTACGGTGGCTTGTCGCCCTGCCATCCTGGACTGTCAATAGTGCCGTGGTCGTACAACTGCAAATTGAACTCTTCGTCCTGTATAACGCCATATAGCTCAAATGCCTCCTGACACATAGATTTTCACCTCATCCCACTGAGGGCAGGACATACACGTAGTCGTATGAACAGTTCAACTGAGCCTCAGCCGGCATTGAACTGTACAGATACCCCAAAACAAGGGCGAGGTGCTGAACTGAGGGAAAGTCGATCAAGAGATTGATCAGCAGGATTGCTGACACGGTGATGAACAGCAAGACGGGCCTTTGAGGAAGCTGCTGCAAGCTTGTTGCAAGCTTGTACCACGCACCGGCACTTTCCATCACAATGAGAACTCGTCCCGAGATTTCGGGATCTAACGCTAGAAGTGCCGGTTGGTGCATCATCTCCCTGTAGTCGCCCTCGTAGATGCCAACTGTCGTGGCAAACAGGCAGTTTGCCTGCAAGGCTCGGCAGTCCAAATGCTCGAGAAGTCAAGCGTCAGCTGAGAACACTGCTGCTTTCGGAAGCGTTCTGAACTCCGCCACCTCATGCCTGACTCTCTCGCAGTCCGAGCTGGGGCTGTCAAAGAAGACTAAACTTGTAGCCTCAAGGTTGCAATTGCACTGCTGAAGGTGATCAGGATGAAAATGATGGCAACCTTGGCTGCAGCTGCAGCTCCTGCATCCCTAGCACCATAAAGATCGCTGAAGCAGAGAAAGGCAGATTCAAGGGACTACAGGAGAGACCCTTAAAGGGACCCTTGGGGTTATATAGGTGCTTTATGAGACTATACAAGGGGTATACCAGGTATCGGTATTAGGATTAAAGGTCCCTTCTAGGGGTCCCTCCTGTTGTCTTTTGGCAGATGCAGCGGAGGCTCCATAAACTTCCCGACCTCGGAGAGCACCTCGCGGCACACCTGTGGAAACCGAAGCGCAGCGGCGTATCAGAACCGCTTTGGAGACTTGGAGCACGGACAAGAACGAATGCAGCAAGCTTGGTCGCGAAGACCGACAGGTTGATCACGAGCAGCCAGTGCAAAACCATGGCACCTTCCGAGGCCAAGTTACAAACACTGCAATGTGGCAGATGAGGCCACGGCTAGCCCAACACAAGCTGGCTTGGCCGCCGGCCCATGGAGAAGAGTATGTACAAGGGCATGACAGCGTTGGCTGCTTCCTGAACTGTTGGCCCGTGCGATTAGAAACGCTCGTGTCACATCGCGGCAGCAAGGCTGAGCACAGTGCACAAGTCTCACTGGGTCCTGTCAAGAGTGACGTGTGACTGGCAAGACGAGCTTTACCGGTTGGCTGATCCGGTTCAGGACGGCCGATTCCAGCTGGGACTCCCTGATACCTGCAGCTTCCTTTACCTTCGGTAGGTCATGGAAGGGGGAGGTTGGCCCTTGGGGCGATCCAGCTTTGACCTTGGGTTCGCAGCGTTTTGTTTGCCGCTGCACCCTCGATCCCAAAGTCTTGTGCACTTGGCTCGAGAAGATATTTCATCTGGGCCAGAACCCTGATCAAATCTTCCTTGAATATTCCTGGAGGGTGGATGAGGGTAGGTGTAGGAAATGACCATGCAGCAGCGCTCGCCCATCTTCTCAGCATTCATTTGCGGATCCAGCGCCCAGCCAACTTCCCATGTTGATGCAGGTCGAGTTTGACCGGCCTAGACCACAACTCTGCACAACCCAATCACCAAGACTGTTTGAGCCGGGAGAGCATGAAAGACACGAACCGAGCCTTAGGGGGTAGGGGGCCGGAATCCGGGACTTGCAGCAGAGCCCAGAAGCCGGCTCAAGCCGTCTCAGCCGACTCACTGAGAGCTTGGAGCCATGCAAACATGGAATCAATTGGGACACAGGGATTAAGTGGTGGCTGACGCCTCTTTCGCCACGGCGAACATCGGTCAGTGTTTTTTCAACGACTTGGCTGTGGGGATGTGCACCCATGTGGATAGGGGATTCATAAGTCTGGAAGGTGTTCGAAACCAATTGTTGCATTGCGTCTCTTGATGCTTTCCAAATGTGCTTGATGTTTTCAACTGTCTTATTGCTGGAGGGACACCATTATTGTGATATTGATGACGGGGACCAGCACGCGTTCTGTCTGTCTGGATTGTGGCCTGAAGTTCGCCGCTCATGTTCGAGGTCAGCACTAGGCAGCCTTCATTCTGCTGGGTTGCAGTTTCAACCTCCGACTATTTACGATTATTTACGCTCACAAGACAAGCCGGTGCAATGGTAGCAAGGCTTTGGAAAGAGAGAGCACCCCAACATTCCTGTTGTCATGATGTCTGGCGCACAGTAGAACATCGGCCTTAGTGCAAGTCGTGCCGAGATGTTGAAAGACATCGAGACAGCAATCCCGAAGAGGGCTGGGCTCACTTGCACACATGGCGACGAGCATGCAAAGCAGGATGAAGCCCCTGACACAGACAGACTGCATACAGCACATCCAGCGCTCGCTCACACCGACTCTGTGGCAGGCACAATTTGGCATCCTCATCTTTCAGATATTCCGGGATGGGCCTTTGTGAAGCATGCCGAATTGCGTACCATGCCAGCGTGGCTGCACTGTGTGACTTCCTGGGCAAGCATGCTAAGCCGCACACACACATCCAACTTTCATGGTTGCTCCCGTGCGGAATGCTTTGACAATCCGGCGCAGGTGGAAGACCAGAAGTCGTGCCATACCTCAAGAACCACAAAATGAAGCACAAAACCAAGAAATGTCCGACAAGGGAGAGCTGACTGCAGTGACCCCACGGTACTGGAAGAAGCGATACCAAGAAGTGAGCTAGGTCCCCGGCTGAAGGCATAGTTTATCAAGCGACCACTGAAAATTGCGATCCGCATGTTGAACCTGTGACTGAGCATGCTAATCACGTCCCGGCGGAAGAGCATGCCACCATAAAATACTTCTGTATTCCCTGGACATGTTAAGGTTCTGGCTCCTCTGCTGTTTCAGTTTTCGGCAGAATCGCCTGGCTAAGCATGAAGACGACGAGGCTGAACCTGATCAAGGCAATAGTGTGCCCTTCATTTCCCTGTCAGACACAGAAAGTTGAAAACAAACGTGGACTCAGAGTCGGCTTAGCACAGTGCAGAAAGCTTATCTTGGAGAATGTGAACTGTCGCCGGACGACGCCCGACCTCAGGACTTGGCAGTGGACATGCAATCCAACCGCATGTGCCACATGATATTTCGACAGCTGGTGCTGGTTCGAAGCTCAGGAATTGGGGTGCAGAATTGCATGCCACAGAACATCGTGGTAAGATGTGACTCAAGCTCGGAGCCACAAGGTGTCAGAAATCTGCACCACCACTTGGTGAGAGATGATCTTGACATCCTGGCAAGCTGCAATGGGAGATCCACACATCAAGAGCAAGCTTACCGATGCAGAGATTACACCGGGCTGCCTTTGCATCCGCGATGGCCTTGAGTGCAGCCGAAAATGCACCATCCTGCCCCATAGTATGCTGCAAATCCACGGTCACAAAACGCTCACAAAGCAGCTCACAAGCTGTAGCAGTAGCACCATGACTGTAAAAGAACCCAGACAGGATCCTTGGTCACGACAAGGTGCTTCATGTAGAAGTTCACTCGCCTGGCATCAGGCCATGGCCCGGGTAAGCAGAGCAAGTTCCTGCATACTTTGCCTGGCACCGTTGATTGCGCGCTTGGAGCGCCAAACCAGTCCATCAAGAAGTGCGGGCAACAGCTGAAGGGCCTGAAGCCGCCCACGCAGAAGGCCGCGAATCTCGTAGCCGTGGCAGCCGTCAAGCTATGGCTGCGACATCTGCACAGAGCCGCTCCACTATGTCTGGATGAGCTTGGAAAAGAGCATCAACCTCAAGACTTGGAAAGGACCAGCCGCTCACTTCTGGTAAACTCACATGCCAAGCGACTCCGAAGTAATACCTCTCTCGATCAGCTCTTATCGTCAGCAGGTCCTGGGCAGACTCAGGCCCGCATTGGCTGCATTCCTAGGCAACACCTCACTGGTCGCCTGCCTGGATCATTGCACGCGCCGCCTCAAGACTGCCACTCTCGATGGCCCAAGACCTCCGTCGCAGAGTCCGGTGAGTTCGGTCCATGCAGTTCGCAGACTTTGTGAAGATATCGCTTCCGAGCATGATCAGGGCTGCACTCGCTAGTCTCCAACATGCCAACGAGCTGGGGAGGTTGAAGTCAGGCTGACGATAACAAGAGTCTACAAACCTTCGACGTGTTACTGAGTTTTGGCTCCGGAGCAGCCTGTGAGGCTGGGTGGTGGTTCTATGAAACGACCGTAGCCAGTACGTTTCGTCAAAAGGGGTCATACAGTACAGGGGCAGTCGGGCAGTATCGTTTTTTTGCACTGATTTCAACTCGTATGCGCCCTCAATGCAACAGTACACGCTGGAGGCAATGATGAAGCACGGTGCCATCCTGGCACCATCGCCATGGCTTCCAGCACTTGCCACGAAGATTACACGATTCAATGCTCATGGAGAAGGTCCAGTTGTAGACAGCACGCTGCACACACTGCCAACGTCTACTTGACAGAATGCTGTCAGTGCCCTGCAGTGGGGAGATCTGCTGTGTGCCGACTTGGATTCGCAGCCTTCCACATGCTCACAGCTCTCCACACTATTATGCAAAACTGGGCACATTCCGTCTCAGAGCTTGGCAACCACTGGGCACGCTCTCCACGAGGAGCTAGTGCCACAGCCTTTCTGAGCTGCCTGAAGGCAAGGCCGACACATCCAGCTACCGAGCGACATGGTGCGCAGGTCCGAAACTCATGCCGGCAACGCAAGGCCGAGTTTGCATTAATTGCTTTCATCACCTTCGAACTCAAACTTGCAACTTGTAATTGGAGGTATCAAGAGCCAACGGAACGCTGAGCGTCTCCGCAATCGTGGCACCCTCTTCGATAACTCGGACCAGAATCTTCGCCACCAGCACGACCGACCACCTGCCAATGAAGTTTCGCCATGCACATGCTCCAGCTCGTCCACAGCAATCGCCTGAACGCTTCCAGTGCTTCATGTTCTTCGGGTGCTGCTTCGCACAAAACCTCTTCTACCACGAACCAATCTTTGTTCAGGCCAACACGTAGCACGTTGCGACCGCAGTCCTCCACGAAAGCGTTTGCGAAAGGGCCGATGAGATGTGTCGGAATGCCGTAACCTTCCCGTGAAACTCGAGGGCATGTCAGCATCCGAAACCAGGCCGGATGCGGTGCTGAGGCTGATGCCCACATGGCGCAAACCGAGGGCAGAGATCTGCTCGGTCTCGGGGGTGAGTTGCACTGAGCTGAGCTGAGCACATCTGAGCCGCGCGACAAGGCCGCTGGCCATCTCCCAAGGATCGGCCAGCAGCTCAGACCTCTCACGTGTGCACACTCCGCAAGCCACAGCCCCACCGCCTCAAACTGAGGTTGCTAATTGAAACACAAGCCGCGGGCGTCATGTCCATTGCCCGTGTCGCGATGAAGTGCAGCCTCGTGTCCGACTGCTTGAAGAACTCCTTCGACTCGAGGGCAACTCTTCAAAATAAACCAAACCAAACAAGTGTTTTCAGGTCAATAAGGAGCATTTATAAGTAGGCGGCTGGAGTTGGGTAGGTGTTGCGGGCGTGTGGGTGCCCCAACTAATGGGCGACAAACCCCCCTGGGCATGTTGTGGGTGGTTCTGTTGTAGGCACGAAACCCTTACAGGAGATAGTGTGGGTGCTGCCTGTGGTATCATAGACGTGGAGGCGCCGCCATCTTAGTGTGGATTTCCAGCCGCTGCACAGGGAGAGGTGTGAGAAAGAGAAAGAGATACAAAAAAACGATGAAAAGAGGAGGGAGACACAGAGAGACCCTGGTCTGAGCATCACAACACTTCAGTCCTGACCCTGTGGGGCCACCTGGAAGAAGCGCACGTAAACTTCGTTGCGCAGCGCGACCTTCTCTTCCTCACAAGCCCATCGTTCGACGGATGGGACCAACAAAAGAGTGGCTGCTGAAGGCCTCTGACCACAGTGACATCAGTCGAAGGAGTGCAGGCCTCGTTTGCGAGGTAATGAAAAAAGACAAGGACTGTTCCTGCTGCGGTGGCGCCCCTCTCGCACATATCACTCAGATTTGCACTCCCATGCACGTGGTTTGTACAGAACTTTGCGAAGGTTGCTTTCAACCTTGGCAAATCGCTGAACGCGAGGCTGCAGATGCTGGAGAATAGTAGCTATCGGTTGGGATGCAAACGCTCTCCCACAGCCAGTTCCAAACCGTCTCATGGTTGGGATCCCAGGTCTGTCAAGAAGGTCTACAGGCTTCGCAAGCAGGTTCGCGGTAATGCAGTGGGCCTTTGGAAGCATGGACCGAAGTGCTGCCAGCATTGCCTCCAGATTGTTCAACGTATGTGGCTGGAAATGCAGTCAGGTCACAAACTTGACAGGTGCACCGACCGGTACATGGAGAGATTCACGTCTCCGTCCACCTGTGTCTGCTGCACGTCAACCAGCAAGCAGGTAGCACTCTCAGGCTCGGATCACGGCTGTCTTACAGATGCGTAAAGCCAGTACCTGAGAGACAGAAAAGCCAGATAGATACATGACATGGTTCAATGCAGCACACTGAACCTCGCATTCTTCCTGCAGGCGAGAGGAGTTGCCAGCGTTCTTGACGATGTCATGAAAAGATCGATTGACCTGCTTCATACACATGGAAGCAACATCTTACAAAGTGTCGGTCTTGTCGGCTCGCCTCTCGCAGCCATCTGTGCTTCCCGAAACCCATAACAGTGGCATTGAATTCGAACATCTCACCGTATGTTGCAGGAACCTGTCCGGAATCAATTTTTTTGTCACGTCTGTGTTTGAGTCATTCTGAGAGCGACACGTTGCTGCCCAGCAGATTCTGCACCTCAGCATGAGCACTCAACAACTTCGAGCGAGTGCCCTGGCGTTGGGGCCTCGGCCGTTTCCTCTTTGTCCTGATCCGTTTCTTCCATGGAATGCGAAGCTTGCTCTCCACTTCTGCGTCCTGTCAGTGAGCGGAAGATGTTATGAGGTCAAGAGGCCTTTCTCTGTCCTTTGAATTCCATGCTGCGTTGCATTCCCCAGTCTTTCATTTTTGCCTGATCTATGGTTCCGCCGGCTGCGACGGTCTTGAAATCGAGGCACAAAACTGTAGGCCAGCGGCCCATCTGCTCTTCTTTGGAGCCTATGGGTGCACAGGCGTGCACAGCAGAAAGCTGCCAGCATGTGCCAGCCAAGACCTGATTTTGCGTCTCGTCGGCGATCTCCAGGGAGTCCTCATCTTCTGGCGAGTCGGCCTCTCCGCGACAGACTCAGACTGCAATTGCGCTTTAAGTTCGTCCCGTACTATGCATCCTTGCCTTTGCGTGTGTGTCAGCCTCGTCCTGCCCAGCTTCTCATGTAGCACGGCGAGCACTAGCTCACTAGCGGATACTAGCGGCTCGATTGGGATCAGAGTCCTCAACTTTGTTAGCAAGGGCCCAGCTGTCCAACAGCAGCTTGATGCCTTTGCACACATTCATCGCATCCTCATGGAGATGCCACTCACAATGCGTGAGACACTGGCGAGCAGCATTGTTGGCCTCAGATATCAGGCTTACGGAAGCTAACTCACAACATCTCTGTGGACTTGTGTCCTAAGGTGTTTTCGCATGTAGATTTGACACGCGGTTTTGTGATGTTCGTGCTTCGCTCGAGGGAATACCGAGCAAAGAAGAATCTTGGAGAACTGAACCATGTCTGCGGGTGGGGGGCGCTTGCCCTGTCCTATCCACCAGGCCGAGCCAAGAGCTTCGCTGGTTTCTGTTTTGTCATGGAAACTAGGCCATGACTAGCTTTCGTCACATTGCCGCAGCTCTGGACTGCGAAGAGTTCAAGAGGTGCGCTGTCAGCACCACTGCGGTTAGAAGCAGATAAAAAGGCTCCAGGTCCCACCGAACGAAATATGCAGCAGTCGAAGCCATGGAATTATTCCCTCCCAGTCAGGAATTCCTGGCTTGCTTCGACACGTTCCTTGCTTCCACACAAGCAACCTAACAATTTGCAAACTCGACCAAGGCCCTGCAGTCTTTCCAGTAGATCTTAATTTCAAACCCAACAATCACTCACGTCCCACTGTTGTTCTCACAATTCCCCGGACTTGATGCCACATTCTGTGTTCAGGCCTCCTCCTCCAGATCTGCTGCAGAAACTAGTTCTCCAGATTCTCCACCTTCGTCAGAGGCTTCTTGGCTCCCGCCTGCCGCCATCATACTGAAACGCTCTGGCCCAGACTCCATCGAGCAGCACAAACAGCGAACGAGCTGAGACGATTGCTTGAAGTTGGCTCCTTAAATGTCGGCACCTGCACTGAAGCTCGTTCCTCAATGTGCATAAGGCCAAAATGTGAGAATATGTGAAACGTGGCCTTGCTGGGTCGGACCACTGCCTGACCTGAATGGAAGGCTTAAGATGAGCTTCCATCCTGGGCCCAGGACCAGATGTCAGCTCATTTCGCGGCTCAGCGATGTGCCGTCTGCGAGATCTTCTAGGGCAACAACCTGCGATCAACGTTGTGGCAGCCTGGCCTTGTGCCTCGTGAAAATCCTCGAACCTTCCGCGCACTGCGGGGGGGCGAATCACCTGACGGTCTTACCGGCTCAAACAACGGAAGATCGACGTCGAGGAAGGTCTGGCATCACCGAGCGGGGCACTGCCAATGTCCTCCAAGGCGACAACCTGCAACACGTCGGAGGTGTCTGAGCCAAAACTCCTCATCATTTGGGCCTTGCTCGCTGGCTTGGTTTGTGGAGGCATCTCGCCTGAGAACACTACGAAATGCTGCACGGCACCTCCCGGATTTCCGCACAGAGTGCAGTTTTTGAATTACAGCTCTGGGTGCAAGGCGCTGGCCCAAGTCTTCCAATGCAACGACCTGTACCACAGCTAGTCAATTTTGGACACATGCTACCTGGCTTCCTGGGCCTTCCGAGGCTGTGAAGACTGGTGTCCTTAACTTTGATAGAATTCAGGGTTTAAGCTTAAACACTCAACTCTCCCACTCCGTCTTAGCTCCGAGCTATTTCCCAGGTCTTCCAAAGCTACCACCTGCAGCTCACAGGTGTCATATTGCAAGCATGCAGGCCAGACATAAACAAGTGCTGGATTGGAAAAGTACGAGAACATACGAGAACCTTTCAAGAATCAACCTACCTTGCCGGATAGGCGTGTTTCCTCTTCACCTCGCGGCTTGCCGGAATGCTCGAGACAAACGACAGCTTTGCCAGTCTTTCGAACCGTGCCTTGAAACAAGTCCTCTAAAGCAACGACCTCGGGACGACTGTGACGACGAGCCGCCAAGCCCGTCAAGCAGCATGAAATACTTGTATCGCATGTTCCTGCCTTGCCCGGAGCCTGAACTGCAGGAGCTGTGGCAACAGCACCTGGCAGCCACAAGATGCCGCAAGCCTTCGGTACAGAAGGGGAGATGCTAGATCACAACTTCCAGCATTGGGATGGACCAGGTCATGCGCAGCACCCCCAATCTTTAACAGAATGCACACGCTCAAACACCAACGCCTTTGGAAAAGGCTGTGAAGCTAGACATGCATCGTTCCCTGCTACTCAGAACGCGGTATGGGTGGAGAGTTGTTGGGGAGAGCAAATGCGATATTTTGAGGATCCGGACATCCAAGGACCAAAGCGAGTCGAGGCAGTACTTGTCGTTTTGGCGTCACGGAAATATCCGATAAATATCTGATCAAACAAAGCATGCATCCTCCTGGTTTGCAGCTGGAGCGGGGCTCCGCCCGCATGTTCAGGCTGTGTTGCGTATACTATATTCGCCACTACTTTTTTGGTACTAGGTTCTCCCATAATCGTCGTAATCAGCAACATCGAAATGGCATCACCTATCGCTAGTACCAACAAGCAGACATTCCCGGAGTTGAAGCTTCTTCAGGCAGCCATAGACCACCAGCTGAAACAAGATGGTGGATGGAAGACACTGACATCCCAACCCTAAACCCGAAAACATGATGCTTGACAACCCCAGCCGCGATCCTAACCCGCAAGGCAGAGGTGGCAAATCCTCAGCCAAAGGCAAAGCCTTCACCCTGAAAACCCTGACGAGACAGGATAGATGTCTGGACCAGAAAAGCCGATAGTGACGTATGGCAAACCCCACACAGTAAGACGAAATGACGGATGGCAAACTCTGATCACATCAACCCCGAAAGGAAATTGTGGATGGAACAAATTACACCCCTAAGAACTGATGGGCAGCAAACCAAAAGCCCTGAAAGGGGGTGATGGTGTCAACCCCAATTTCTGAAGGGCGGGACGGCATGAGGCTAAACCCTAAACCCTAAACCCCACAGTACAGGGTTGTTGCATGCCTTTTTGCAAGCCATCAGTGTTGCACACTTGAGGGCCAGGGGCATGGAGAACGAAAGCTCGGTCTTTTTTTCGCAAGCGGATCTGGCGGCGGCCACGCAGGAATTCCTGCAGCAGCGAGGCCTGCTTGATCTCCCCAAGACGGCGTCTCCGTGTTCGGCCAGTGGAGTGGGGTCCTTGCATACTGTCTGTCAGGTGCTTCAAAGCTACAGCGACTGCATTGAGTATGGCAGGGCTTGCTTCCAAAGCCGTCAGAGGTGCAGGCGTCTCTGGATTGGCTGCTGAAGTGTTCTGCAGTAGGGCCTCCGGTACAGGCGCTGCACAGCATACCGCCGTGGAGAAGGATTGGTTCCAGTGAACAGGTGGTTTCTGGAGTGTGGCAGCTACAATGCAGAATTCCACAGGAGAATTACCGGCACTTTTCGACACATTGCATTGGACCCAGCGCACACAGGTGCTGCGGTGCACGACTTCCCGGTGTCGCGGCGGCAAGGTGTCGAGGCTCGTGCGCAGTTGGCACGGCAGAAGCACAAGGGACATGGCAGTGTAAACTTTGCTGTGGATGTTGCAGTGCAAGGAAGTTCAGGTACTGTATTGTTCGGTGTTTGGATAGCTGTGGTACTGATTGTATTGTCAGGACTGCGGTTACATGGAAGTGTATGCAGGTATTGTATTGTTCGGTGCCCGGCAGGCAACCGACCACTCGATGACTGCGGAAAACACGCAATGCAGCTTTCGCTTGTTGTTACTTGGTGATGGTGTGGAAGTGTGTTCTAGGCAGCATTGCCTGGACCTGCAGGAGGCCTACAGGTTCTGATAGTTCCTGCGGAATGCAATGCAGGTGAGCATGCAACGACACCAGGCAGAAAACCGAGGGCTTCCTGGCGTAACGTCTGAGCATGTGCGAGGCACAGTCTTCTACTGAGACACATAGCCTCTGCGTTGTCAGGGTACAGGGGCGACTCGCGCAGCAAGCTATCAGCAGCGGCGATTTCGTCCTGCCACAACATGCAAAGTGTTGAAGAAAGGACCGGACTTACAAACTGGAAAGATTGCTGCAAGTTGCTGTGAGTTTTTGTGACCGGAAATCATGAGCACGGGACCAGCGGAGCGGCGGCATCAGCGCAGCAAGCGGCTGTGGACACCTTTGAAATGTGGAAGATGTAGTGCTATCTTGATTGCAACTGCATACAAGCACAACAGGAGAGCTCTGCAGTTGCCAACCGTAGATAACGGCAAAGAGTCAATAGAGCCTGCATTCTTGAAACTGCAGTTACAAGGATGTCGCACCTTGGCTTGTGGTTCAAGAGCGGCATGAAAACAGGAGCTTCGGACATCATGTTAACGTGGTCAGGCGCCTACAGCTGTTCATGTTGACGAGAACATCATAATGTTGTTCTGAAATCCCGAAATACGCTCGAAAATAAAATAACCAGGCCCTGGTCACTAATTTTGTAGTAAACCCCAAACCTTATAACACCAGGAACGGTAAGCCTCAGGGGCGATTTGCATCCGGTTTTAACAGTGTTATCGATGCGTCGAGGTCACTGAGTCGCGGTTGTTTGAAGCTGAGGCAGAGGCTTTCTTTTGCTGCTGCTGCTGCTGCTGCTGCTGCTGCTGCATCGGCGTAGGCATAGCAGGCGCCTTCCGCAACGGAAGCAAGATGGGTGCTAATGTTACATGCAGAAGGGACGGACGCTTTCCGGTGGGCTGTCACAGCGGCAAGTATGGGGCAGGCGGTTGGAGGGGGGGCGGGGGGGAGAGGAGTGTGGGAAACTGCAAAAACGTGCAGTGACAAAGGGAGGTGGGGGAAGGAGGGAAGGAGGGGGGAGGACGGGGAGGAGGGGGGAGGGCGGGGGGGAGAGGAAGGGGAAGCGGGGGTCCACAAAAACTTGTGTTCGGTGGGCAGAGGAAAGGGGGCAGAGGGATGGGAGGTGGAAGGAAGGGCGAGAACAAAGGGGCAGGGAGGGGAAGGAGGGGGGGAGGCATGGGGAGGGAGGCAAAGGAGTGCGAAAACCGCAAAAGTCTGTCTACAAAAAGCAGAGGAGTTTCGTGTTTCCGAGAAAAGGGGGCAAAGGGGAGGGGGAAATTTGGGGGCAGGTGGGGGAGGAAGGCTCCGGTGTGCTGGAAACTGCCTGCTCTTGTGTAGCCTGACAGAATGCGGCACTCTGCCTGACTGCTTCCACATCGATTACAGGCGCAAACTCGTTGGGGTCGGCATCATCGATGGTGTGCTTGAGACCGCTAGACGAGTCATCGGTGACATCCACCAACTCGATGGCAGCAGCGAGGCTACGCTTCAGGCCGCTTGAAGAGCTCATGCTTGATATCAGCGCCCGAAGAGCAACTGACACAAATCAAGAAAGTCTACGAGCCGATGACTGCTGCGGGACGCGAACACTAGCGAATCCCTAGAACGGCTTCGGGCATGTGACCTTGCTCTTGAATGTACATAAAGCCAATGAGCAAGACATCAGTGCAGATGACCGTTTTTGCAAGTGGAGCAGGCCTGCGAATCGCAGCATACTGCACGCCGGCAATCTGCAACTGCTGCAGACGCCGCGGAGACAGACGCAGCAAT